AAAATAATAAAAAAAAAAGTTACCGAATGTTGTGTGCTGGGCCTTTCTTGACAATTGGACATGGTAGTCGTGGCAACTTAGGAGTTGGCCCTGCCGGAGCAGTTCTCTGGTGTCCTCTGACTTGCTCTGAACCCTGTCTTTTGGGCACCTGGCAGGGTCATGTGATGGTCGCCAGAGGGAGGGCGTGTTTGTTTGCACAGGTCGGGGAGGCTAGGGCTGCCCCGAGGAGAGGAGAGGAGTCTGTGTAAGATGTGTCTACTTTTTCTTTTGCTTGGTTGTTATTGACCTGTTGGCTCAGTGTTCTGTTCTCCTTTAGTGAGATCAGCAGTATGACATTGTATGTCCTAAATTGTTCCTTAAAATGGAGGCTTCACTTTTTGCCATGGACCTTTTCTGGGGTTGGGGGCCATTGGGAATATATACCTTTCATGGAGCCTGAGCCACTTCTCACCTGCTACCTGTTTCTTTTTTCTAAGGAAGCTAAGGGCTTTCCTTTGTACCAGATGAATAAGTGGGCAGGCCTGGATTTTTCTTTACTCCTCTTTTGCATGACAGCCAGTGAGGCTGCCTATCCTGGCTATGAAAGCCAGGCGTTTTGAGGTAGCATTTCTCTGACGGCCCTGTTGATGCTCCTCTAGTTGCAGTTATGATCTCTACTTGAGCTTCTGTCTGCAGTGGCTAAAACACATCAGGAAAAACTAAGAGAAGAAATACTTTGGAACTGAAAATCTAAGGGTTCAGTGTTATGACCTTGTCCTGATGACCAAAGAACAATTAATGTGATGGGTTACTGTTTTGTTACCTCTCTGTGGCATTGCTAGGGGCTAGCTGGTATCCCTATCTCGATTTCAGCAGACACATTTCCCAATCTGTAATAAACCTCCAAAGGAGAGAAAGGCAGCTCTCTAAGCCGAGAAGGATTCTAAGCTATTCCTTCACCCTAGAGGCCTAATTCTGCTTTATATTTAGCCCCAGACATCTAAGCTAATATACCAGGGACGAAAAGATTTCTTACACCCACACCTGCCTTCTCAGGTTTGAATACAAACTGGTCCACAGCTTACAAACTGAGGTCATCCTTGTGAGCTCAACCACAGGGTATTGTCCTCTGAGTTGGGCCAGGATGGTGCGCCGCCACCAGAACGAGACAACCAGCTGAAAATGAAAAGTCAGAACTCTTCTTTCACCTTTGCGGCCCCAGAGAGAGCTCGTAAATCCTAATGTCCGGGTTCTAACATTATTGTCATTCCCTGTACTGAGCTCAGTTTTCCAAGGCTAGGAAGGACTTAAAATTATACATGCTATGTCATTTTCTTGTCCTTTGAATCCATCCATGCACGGAGCCCTTATTTAATCAGTAATAACTTTATTTCCAAATTCACTTTTACAGCAACAGTCAGTGTAAATCATTTGTTAAAACACACAATACACCATATGGACATTCACAGACAGGAAGCTAAGCTAAGATGGTTTCATGTCCCTCCCCCCACCCTCAAAATTATTGAAGAAATCATGGGACTTGCAAGTGCCAGAATTGTCCTGCCCAGCACTGCGAATTCACGGGCTAAAAGTCCATTAGGAGGTGAGACTGGGTCAGCACCCAGGGTAACCCTTTTCAAAACTGAAGAGCAACTAGTCTCATGAAGCCACAGATCTGTAGATGGAACTTGCTGATGGTCTTCAACCTCTGCCCTCATCCCCACCTCTTGGCTTTACTTGGGGGACAAAGATAAAAGAGAGTGAAGGAAGAGATCTTGGCAGCCGTTAGATACAGGCTGCGTGTCTAGAGCCAGTGGTAAAAATGATACAGGTGCCCATGCTTAGAAGAAAGGATGTCAGGGTCTTCGGGAGGCATGATTGTGGGCTTGGGACCTGGCAAGAGGCCAGGGCAACCATATCCAGATTCCTCCCCAATCCGCACCTCCTGCACCTGGCCTGAAAGAAGATGGGAAGTAGCTGGCAGCCTGCTGCACTAGGGAGTCCTGTCAATGGAAAGGCGAAGCCCCAAGGACCTCTAGCAGCTGTGAAAATCATGAAGAAAAGGGTTACAAGGCAGTTCACCTGCTGCACTCCAAGACTTCCTTTGCCCATGGTAACTATCATACAGGTTCCTCCCCCCTCCCCCCTACAGCACAATAAGCAATCGAAAACAGGATACAGTCTCACCACTGAAGTCAATTTAAATGGAACTATTGATAAGAGTGGAGAGTTTGAAGGAACCAAGCATGTAGCATATCCTATTTAGCCCACCCAAAGGACATTGACTCTGGAGGTGGGACAATGGGGAGGGTGAGGAGGGAGGTGAGTGCCCAGCCCCTGGGGGATTGTCCTCAGTTAAGGTCACAAGCCAGCGTCCCTTTGCAATCTCCCTGCCAGCACTGACCTAGTCACTCTAAACCATGATCTGGAGGCTGACCCCAGTAACCCACCCTACAAGGGAGATTCCAGGGCCCTCCACTTAAGGACCTCAGAATAAGGTATTGAACAGGGCACAGGACCTGCAGGAAGAGGAAGGCAGAAATCCAAGAAGAAATGCAGCCATAAACCAGTGGCAGTAATGAGGGGCCACAATCTCAACAGCCACCAAATCTTTAAAACACATTTCCTTTTTTTGCTGGGACTCAAAGGACAGTGGGGAGCCTCACAGTGGAAAGTTCTGGGCTGAGATGATTCCTTGCAAGGAAAGCTCTGGCTGCAAATGAAGCCTCCAGCCCTAGAGAGGACGCCCTGGACCCCTCCCACCTCACTCCCCCACCACCAGGGAGGGGTGCCTTAAACTGCTCAAACCGGAAGTGGCAGAACTGGGCCTGAGGTTGCTGAGTTTCTTTAAACAGCTATTTTCTACAAAAGCTGCTTCCCTTTCCTGGTGGCAGCAGATGAGACTTGTGCAAGGTCAGCAGGGGCTCTGGCCAAGGCTTTGGGAATGGTGTCTCCTGACTTGTCAACCTTCCTCAGTCAGGCAGCTGGGGCCCCATTCAGGGCAGGCTGTTCATGCCAACCCCTGCTGTGGCTGTAGAGCCCTTTGGTGGGGAGGCCCGGGCTGCCCTTCCTGAGAGCCTGGAGGGAGGTGGGCTGCAGACCTTTCCCCAGGTGGCACTGGCTTCATTTTTCTTGCGACGCAGGAAGTTGTAAGAAGACCCTCTTTCGGGGCTGTGAGGCTTCTCCAGGTTGTGGCCAGAGAGGGACATCTTCATGCTGCAAAACAGACCAGCCACAAGACACAGGGCTCTGCCCTGACAAAGGCAAGCCCTTTGGGGCGGGGCGGGGTCACCACAGCCTCCGTCCTAGTCCTGTGCTTCAGGCCTTCTCAACTGAGGGTTCTCAGATGTCAAAATCTGGTCTCCGTTGGGTCCCAGATGCTGAAGAAAGCCTTTCAAAAACTGGGAGGCCCCAACAGGGTAGAGCCACATTGGCCTCCTGGAGCTGAGTCCCAGCAGGCGGACTGGGAGACATTGAGGACCCCCATGAGGGTGGGTTAGAAACCTCTTTACAAGCATTTCAAGATACATGCGTCCTTTTTTTTTTTTTTTTTTTTCTTTTCACTATCATAGTCACTCTGGTGAATCCAAGCATAAACAGACAGATCCGACTACAACGCGACAGGGTGCTGACAGGGAAGGAAGGGCGACTTCTATGTATATGTTCAGCTGCTCCAGCAGGACAGATAGCGTTGCTTCCAGCTGGGATGGGGCGAGAACCATTTCCGAGGGGGCATGTTCCCCTTTGGGGGGCATGGAGAGCTGATTATATGCACTTGGGGCTGAGCAGCGGCTGGGCTCTCTGAGAGGCTGGCAGTCACAGCTGGGGTGGGAGTGGGGGTCAGAGGGAATCGGGTTTAGCCCTGAGGGCCTGTCTATTCTGGCGCCATCTCTGGCAACCAGGACACACAACCCGCTGCCAGCTCAACACAGGAAGGGGACCGGGCCTCCTGGGAGGAAAAGGCTCTCCAAGCCCACACTCAGGGTCATTGCCGAGCCCTCCTCCCACACCCCCCCTCCCACTCACATCTGTGATGGGAGGTTGGGGACAGGGAACTGAATAAGGTCATCAGGTTCATTGTGAGGGACATGCCAGTTGGATGAATGTAACTTAGACGGAGAGACTGAGGTCCCACCTTGTGCCTTTGCCTTCCCTTGATTTCAACCCTTAGTTTAGAGTAGGTGCCTCCCACATCCCAACAACATCCATGACTGAGAAGGGGTTTGGTGAGGCTGGGAACTCAGGACAGTGTGACATAATGAGGGGTACAGGCAGTGACTGAGCTCTGCATAACAGACACACGGGCGTAGCAGGGGCAGACAGGTGGCTGCAGTGGCCGTGGGAGGGATAGGAGGCTCAGGACCCACCCCTCCAAGACCCCCACGCACACACTCCAGAATTGCCAGAGGCCCAGGTTTGGGAACAGGCAGGTGTCCCCCTAGAGGCACAAGTCCTTACAAGAGAACTGGTTAGCCCTAAAGTCCCAAATCTGTGAGGTGGCCAAAATCGTGGCTGCAGTTCCAACCTTCAGAACTCAACAAAACAGGGTTTCCGTGGGGCGGGAGGAAGCCCCTCGGCTCAGGACCCGACCCCCTTCCCCGTAGGTTGGGAGAAAGAGGCCAGGACCCAGGACCTTGAGGTCAGTCTTCTCTGCGGAAGTAACCCACAGGGTGCCACCCTCCCACCAGTCAGCCTTCTCCTGCCCACTGTGCCTTCACAGTGTGGGAGGGACTGCCCTCCAGAGGGCGGCACACCGACCTGCAGCAGATCCCGGGCCACCGAGAAGGCCACTCGGGCCGAGTTGGCTGCGTGTTGCGGAGGCTGTTTGCCCTGCCTGCTGCCCGTCCAGGCTGGGAGCAGCAGCTCCTCTCCCACCACGTTTTCCCTCTCACGCCCTCCCTCTCCCACGCTCTCCCTCCCTCCCTCCCTCTCTCCCTCCACCTCAGCCTCTCCTGCATCTCACCCACACCCTGCCCCATCCCGTCCCCTCCCCCTCCCGCTCACACAAGTTCGAATGTGCCTGTGGCTCCACCAACCACCAAGTGTCAAATCCTTTGTTGTTGTCGCTGCCTCTTTGACACCCCCAGGACGGAGCCAGAGGAAGGGTTCCCCCAGTCCCTTGAAATTCCCCAAAAGCACCTTTCAGAGCCTCTCCTCCCTCTTCTACTCAGAGGGGAAAAAAAAAGAATCAAAAGTAATTGCCCAAGGAAATGTTGGGTGTGGTCGTCTCTTAAAGTGTTTTGAAAAATATTTTATTATTCCTAGCCCACCCATCAATTTGGAAAGATGAAATTTGTTCTTATTCCCATCACTGATTTTGAAGTCCCGAGCCAGAGCCGAGCGACAAAAGCAGGTTAAGTGATTAACCGATTAACCGATCTGTGAGGAGCAGCTGGGGGAGGGCAGAGGGCGAAGGGCCAGGTCATTATTCTTTTTTTTTCCACACTCTCTCTCTCTTCTCTCCACGATTATTGACCGCCCCGGGGGGCCTGATCACAAACCCTGCTTGGCCAGGGAGGCGGACACTTCGTCGGCTAGTGTGGCGAGCTGGGGCGAGTCTACCATGTCGATGCTGCCCGTGGAGGACACGTTGCTGAGGTGTCTCGGAGACGTGTCCCCGGACACCACGGGAGACTTGTACACGATCTCCGCCCCGTGGTCTGTCTTGGCTTTGGCGTTCTCACGGAAGGTCAGCTTGTGGGTTTCGATCTGCAAGAGAGGAGGGGAGGGAGGGTGAGATGAAGAGCCCAGGATGGCAAGCCCTGCCCACCGACTGGCCTGGGGCGGTGCTGACCATGGTTTGGATCATTTTCCAATAGCAAATACTTGTGCTGGGTTCTTCCGTCACCTGCCTCCATGCCACCCTGTTCCTCTCCCCAGAGTCAGTGACCACTATAAACAAACACGTGTATGTGTGAGTATATAAATATGTGTGTGTGTATATGTTAACAATATCCACATGCTTTGCCGTCCGTTATCATTATATAGTTCTTTCATGCTTGTTGCTGGCGGCGTGGTATGCCACCATAGCAGATGGACCGCGTTTATCCATTCCTCGATGGATGGATATTTAGCCTGTTCTAGTCTTTTACTATCATGACCGATGCTGTGTATGAATAACCTTGCGCGCACATCATTTCACACATGTGTAAGTGTATCCTAGAAGTAGAAATGCTAGTAGGTCATGCACATTTTATTTGGGTAGATATTACCCAATTGCAAATGAGAGAGTTGGAGGAGAAGCTGGAGATGAAGGAACGTTCCCAGAGCCACTGCTGCCTGCCCATGAACCACACACATTCCCCGCCTTTGCCAGTGACTGATGAGCCCGGAGGTGGCGGCAGCCGGTTAGGTGTGCCGGAGAACACGGGGCTACATAGCCCTTTTTTAAAGTAGAGAAGTGATGACGTAGCCAGGAGCCCCAGGGCTCTGAGCTCCAAAGGATCCCTGGGAAACTCAGAGGGCATTAGCTAGAGATGCGAGAGGTACAAAAATAATTCTCCCCTGATGAGCCCTGACGTAGCAGACACAGTAATTCTCTACCTTTTTGGAGTTCTAAGACTGCTTTAAAGAAAAATGTACGTACATGCAGGCTTGCACTCATACACACGTCACAATTTTTCCACACGATTTTAGTGGTCTGCAGACCCCGGAGAAGGAAGAGCTGCTGCGGCGGCATGCTCGCATGTGGACGAAGAGAATAACCAGGCTCCCATTTAAGCTATATGCTTATTTTGTTCATTTCGGGTCACTGCTTTGACTAAAGCACCCTCCATATTGCTTCATTTGAAAGGCCTTTTGACATAAGAACATTTGTTAATGTTTTTTTTATAAGCTTTGTTCATAAGAAAAAAGTGACAAGGTCCTGAGAATATCCAAAAATCCCCCAAGCTGAAAGGAACTCAGGCAGCGGGGGTCCTGTGCTCCACTGCTTGTGAGCGATTTTGCTCATCACAGGAGGAAACGGGGGGACTTGAATACGAGGGGACCCTTTGGGACCGGGACTGTCTCCTGAGCAGTGGGCAGGGCGGGGCCTCACTTCTGTTCTAGCTCACCTCACAGAGATGAGTTAAAACAGAAGTTCAGACTCAGACTTGACTCTAACTCATGTTCTTAGATGACTGCAAAGTATAGGAACCTTCCAGAACACCATCTCATCTGGGTCTCGCAACCACCCTGGGATGTGAATGTCTATCCATTTTGCTATAGGAGAAACAGGCTGAGAATGTTTACTGCTCTCGCCCAGGTCACAGCTCCAAGCAGAGTCAAGCCCAGAGCTTTTCTTAGGACATAGAAGCTTCCAGAGACAGGGGCAGAGACCTTCCTCCACAGAGGCCCAGGGCCTGTCCAGACTCGTTCAAGTGGACTCTCTGTGGGCATGGGTATCTTTAAAGCTCCTGGAGAAGGGAGGCCCCACCTTGAACCAGGGTGGAGTGGGTGAGCCAAAGGAGCAGGGTGCTGGACTTCTGTAGAACTTTCTCCACTTCCCAGAGGACAGGGCCCTGCCCCACTTCCCTGAGGGCCTGCAGCCTCCTCAGTCAGGGGGGGCGGGGGGTGGGGGGGCCGGTCATGGAGATGCACCCTTGAGCCTTGGGAAGCCGGGGATGTGCAAGTGTGAAGGGAAAAGGCCACTTTAGGTCCACCTGGGGGTCGGGGAGACCGGAGGGGTGCTGTGGAGAAACACAGAGTAAAAGGCCACCCAAGGGCCAGTACCTGTCCTCCCTTCAGCCTCTGGGGGTCGCTGTCTAGGGGTCAGGTCTGTCCCCACGTCTCAGTTTGCCATCTCTGCTTTAAGACCATAGCAGCAAGTGCTTCTCTGAAACTACACTGTTGGGTCGGGCTTTCACCGAAATGCAGGACGGGCTGTGCCTGTCTGTTTGGAATCCGAGGTGGAGGTGGTGCGTGGGGCTGCCTGCCTGAAGTGGGGATTGGGGGAGGCCTGGAGATTTGCCATGGGGACTCCCAGCTGTCACCAAGCATCTGGTGAGATGGCTCTGCCACTACTTCCAACCACCTGGGCCACCTTGGGCAGCATCCTTTCTTACGTCAGGTTGGGTCTCAGATTCTGTGCCCATTCTGGGACATCCCTTCCCCCTCCGCCACTCCTCAGTCAGCTGCTGGGGGACATGAAAGACTGGAGAGTGAGCCACTTCAGGCCTTCGGGGCAGGCGTTAGTGGGAACCCCCAGAGGATGTCTGCGTTTATGCATATGAGAAGAATACAGCCACAAGACCGCATCCTGTGTTGGGCCACACACACTCTGGTGCCACCCAGCCCCCACGCTCACACAGACCCACGGCAAGGCCCGAGACTCTAGAAACTTCCGGGAATGCCAAGGTCCGGCAGCCTCCCCACGGACACTTCCGTGACAGGTGGGCGGAGGCGTTGCCCAAATCTGGATTTCAACATCACTGTTTTGCTCTAACTGCCTAGTGACCCACTTAGAAAATTAGGTTATGTTCCCATGACTTGTTCTTGGTGCACTGGAGCTGGCTTTAGGAATGGCTATTTCCTTTTGTGGATGCTGGCCACTCACAAGGCCTAGGACAGTGCCTCTCGCCTTTGACCCTACCAAAGAATCACCTGGGGGCTTTAAAGAGTCCAGGCACCCAGTCTGTGCCCCGAGATCAATTAAGTCAGAATCTCCAGGGTGGGGCCCAGGCATCAAATTTGTTAAAGCTCCTGGTGACTTGCAACAGGCCACTAAAGGCACGCCCCATAGTCCCGGTGGTTGCTGAGAATCCACAACAAGCCAGTCCCTCCGGGATCCTTGGCTTTCCTCCCTCTGGAAAACTGGACCAGCCTTGTCCACCCGATTCAATTCACACCCACATCCGAGTGCAGCCTCCTCCCTGCCCTGTCTCCTTTACCTTTTTATTCCCTCCGCCGGGGACGTGGGTGATGTTATCCAGGGACCCGATCTTCGACTGGACTCTATCCTTGAAGTCCAGCTTCTCAGATTTTACCTCCACCTGGCCACCTCCTGGAACACAACACACACAAGAGCTCGGTGCCTGGAACCAGGGCTACTCAGAGTTCTGCAGAGACACCAAGCTCTGGGAGCAGGCAAGACTCTCCTTTGTTCGGAATACGGTTTTGGGCACTGGTCTGTCCTTCCACAGGGCTAGAAAACAGTTCTCTTCTTCGTCTCTCTAATCAAGCTGCGCATCAAATATTTACTCAGAAAACTCTCCCTCCTCAGACAATATAAAGGTAAATGAAAGCTCGGTCCAGGAGAAATGATTCTAAATTCTAACCTGGTTGGCTTCCAACAAGAGAAGTCTTTCTGTGTCAACATCCTGAAGCTAAAAAGCCCTGTAAGACCTCAGAATTAAACAGGCAAAACGCATCCTAAATAAGGAAGGGCCCCGACCCTTTCTCTCTCCCCAGACATTCGATGTCCACCCAACACGGACAGACATGGCCTGAGGAAGAGGCGAACCACACCTAATCCTTGAACGACATGGGTTTGAACTGCGCAAGTCCACTCGTATTTGAATTTTTTCAATAAATACTGTGCCTATTCCTTATGATTTTCTTTTCTCTGGTTTACTTTATTGTAAGAATACAGTATATATATATATAACATACAAAATATGTGTTTATCGACTATGTTATCAGGTACAGCTTCCTGTCAACAGTAGGCTTATAAGGGGTTAAGTTCTGGAGGAGTCAAAAGTTACATGCAGATTTTCGATGGCATGAGGGGTCAGGCATCCCTAACCCCCGAGTTTTCAAGGGCCAACTGTACATTACTCTCAGGAAAAATAAAGCCACCCAAGAAAGCTGCTCACAGTGTGGCAGGATGGTGACACTGGGAGATACTAAACCCCCCAAAATGTCCAAAGCAGCCAGAAAATGAGACACATTCTGGACGTTGCTTCTGACGGCCTTCTCTTCCCACAGTAATGGTTCCAGTAAAGATCTCTGCCCTGAGGGCCTGACCAAGGCAGAAGTCCCTGCTCAGGACTCGTAGGCGGGAGTCTGAATCCAGATCTGTGTTGTACAGGACGGTGGCCACAAGCTACACAGGTGCCTACTTAAATTTTAATTAAATAAAACTCGTTTAATTAAATTTTAATTTAAAAAGATGTTGCCCTGGCCACATGGCGAGTGCTCAACAGTCACGTGTGGTTAGTGGCTGCCACCCTGGACATCACAGATATAGAACATTTCCACAGTCACAGAAAGATCTATAGCCAGCGTGAATTTCTCTACGATGTGGGAGGGGGAGGGGAAGGAAAAGCATGGCGGAGGGCCAACAGTATCATTTTCTGTTCAAAAAAGTGACAGCAAGGTGTGGCAACGCCTTGGTGCAGCTGATGAAGTGTCCCCCATGTTGGTTAGGTGGGGACTGGGCTGGGACACCCACACAGCCAGACTTTAGGGGCCAGATCAAGCCCTTCCCAGGCTCTAGAGGCCCTGTGGGCAGCCTGCTTGGAGAGCCACAGGATAGAGTTTAGGGCCAGCATCTGCCCTCCCTCCTCACCTTGTCTGGGCCAGCATGGCCCGGCACAGGAGAGTGAGACAGGACAGCCACACCTCCCGGGCCCCAGCAAGTTCCACCCTCAGCGCTCTCCTTGATAGCCCATCCTATCAACTCCCCCAGCCACTCAAGCAGACGTGACCCAGTCCTGCCCCACCTCCCGGGCCTCCCTGCCCACTCCACCCTCAAGGGCTACCTGGCTTATGATGGATGTTGCCTAATGAGCCACACTTGGAGGTCACCTTGCTCAGGTCCACTGGTTTGTAGACTATTTGCACCTGGAGGTGAGAGAGAGAGAGACAGAGACAGAGAGAGACAGAGAGAGGAAGAGAGAGGGAGAGAGAGGGGAGGGAGGAAGGGAGAGAGTTGGGGGTGGGTGGACAAAGAGAACAAAATAGGATTATTTTATTATGGGCGTAGCACAATGAAAAGCAGCTGTGTAAGTCCAGGCCCTGCTCGGACAGTGTCCCGTGTGCCAGGGGGCGCAGGCCCTCATCACGGTGGAAAAAACGGCTGGAATTCTGCTAACCCTGCCCCAAGGGAGCTGGGTCTTCACAAAATAACAGTGAGACCAGTGCCTTCAGTCCCCCAGAACAAAGACTCTCGGGGGGAAAAACAGGATACTTTGTCATTGTGCAGAGCCCATGCCATTTGTGTAGCAAACACATGTAAAGAAGTCACTCTCTTTCCTAACGGGAAATTGACATTACATTCAGCGCGGACGTAGAGAAAGCAGAGATCGACGTGATGTTCGCGCAGCACTTGGAAAGCGAGGGGGCCGGATCTGCCGGGCCTCAGCGAGGAGGGGGCCGTGAGGGCGCAGAGGCGGGCTTTCTCCCAGGAGAAGCTTCGGAAACCCCAGCACCCCCACAGCAAGAGCAACGACGGTCAGCGGTCAGCGAGCAGGACCCGCAGCACTGCGGCCACACAGAGGTACGAGCCAGCTGCTGCCTGAGTGTCCTGGACATCTCAGTTCTTTACCTTTGAAAGAAGCCAAGTGACACCAACAGGAAAGACAGGTGGCCCAGCAGAAACCCAGAAGGTTAGTGTCTCAGCAAGCAGACCCGGACACGCACATACAGGGAGGCCTCGGGTTCCAGAGCGCAGACGAGGCACGAGGGTCCACCGTGTGGCCCCGACACACTGCCCACACTCCGGAGGGGAATGGCCCCTGTGCCACCTGCTGATGTCAGCGTGAGAACCAGCTTCTCGGAGGGGGCACCCCCATCCTGGAGGGGGCACCCCCGAGGGACTCCGCATCGGCAGATGGGTCTCCTGAAGGAAGTCTCTACAAAGCCGTGGCTGTAAGCGGGGCTCCAGACGGTCCCTGAGGGACATTTCCCAGCAGTGACCTCGTGTGAGGTCACCTGAGGGTGCAGGAGGCCAATCACCTGTTGGCTCCTGCCCCGTGCCCTGGAGTTACCCCGGAGAGAGATGGCCTCCTCTGAGATTCAGTTTAACAAAGACACCAGAAAAAGGGAGGGGTTTCTACTTAGGTCTAAATCATCTGGAACAATCCCAGATTATTTCAGTTAATCAGAGTCATGTTGGCATGTGCCATTAACTGGTGGAGAGTTGACAGGCCGACAGGTGGACGTGGGCTGTGTGCGCCAGCAGGTGGAGGGAGGGTGGGAGCACACAGGTGTGGCAGCCTGCACCTGTGACAGTGGGGATGAGTGATTCTGAGGTCCGGGAGAGAGCGTGTGCCCTGGGGTGGGGGCGAGGGGCTATGGGATCCCCTCCCATGAGGGAGAGATGGAAGTAAATGTCGGAGTGACCGAGGCCTCCTTTTCTTCCCTTCAGGCTGGATGAAATAGCTTGTGAGGGGAGGAGGGCGGGGTTGTGCAGGGGAACCTGGGACGGCAGACGGAGGAAAGGAACGGGCGAGGGTGGGAGCCAGGGAGGCGGTGAGGGAGTCGAGAGGAGGCCGGGGCCGGGGGAGAGGAGGCCGGGCCGGGGGAGAGGAGGCCGGGCCGGGGGAGAGGAGGCCGGGCCGGGGGAGAGTTGGGCCAGGGGAGAGGAGGCCGGGCCGGGGGAGAGGAGGCCGGGGCCTGGCGGGGAGCCCGGCGGCAGCGAGGATTGCAAGGTGGTTGGAGAAGGAGCAGGGCCTGCCTGCTGGGACGTCACCTCCAGGCTGGAGAGGGGACGACAAGCCAGAGGCTGGAGCCCAGGGCCAGGGGTCCAGGGCGAACATTGTGCAGGGGCTTGTAACCCCCCCGCCACCTTTCACCAGGGGAACAGCTTTCTGCAAAGGCTCCTACTGCAGACAAGCTGTGGACACGGGCCAAGGACAGTGCTTAGGGCCAACCTGGGATAACCTGTGTCTCTTTGCCAGGTCATAGGTTAGCCCACAGGCTGGCAGAGAAAGCAGGACAAACAGGAGGTGCCCCGAGGAAGTCCCCTGATACCCCGTAACTGCCATCAGCAGTGGGAATGTACTCTCTCTTCCCAACTTCCTCCTGATGGGGCTGTCCGCTCTCTGTGGCCCGCTGGACCCCCTGGCCTCGGCCTCGCCAGCGCAACCTCCCGCTAGCGACCAGACACCAGTAAAACCGGAAGGCACATGCCTTCCTGCTCTGGCTGGAGGAGTGTGCAGCAAAGCCAGAGAACCAGGAGTCGAAGCTAAAACAGATCGTGGCTGGAGTGGGGGTGGGGTGGCCCCCACACCTTCTCTTTCCGTCTCTGGCAGAAGACAAGGTGGCAGTGGGACAGGAGAGCAGGGACTGGGGGACGGGAGAGACACAGCAGACACTGGCGAGGAAGCGTGGAGGAAACGCCATGCAGCAGCCCTTGGTGAGCGCCCGCCACCCAGGGTCAGGGGCTCTGGGCAGGAGGCAGCAGCACATTGCAAGAATAAACCCTCGGGCTGGACGCAGATAACGTGCTGCCCAGGCTGTGCACTTTCTGGGGAGCGCGTGCTCCAGGGGTGACCCCTGCCACCCTGGGCTGCCAGCCACGAGTGAGATGCCTGCTCTCAGAAATTATCCCCTCCCCAGGGGTGGCCCTCAAGGGGTCTTATACCTCCTGCTCCGCAGTGTGTTAGGCTGGGGCAGTGAGGAGGAGGCTGTGGAGAAGGGGAGCCTTAGGGTGACGAGTGTGCACCCACCGTAGGTGAACACGGGACAGCCGGGAGGACAGCAGAGCTGATCACGTGGGGGAGGTGAGCCGTGAGGATGCCAGCCCCAGGTCTCAGGGACACATGCACTGGGGATGCAGGGAGTCCCCAGGGACGTTTGGAGGAAGCCAAACATAAAAGGGCCCAAAGCAGCATCTCCGTCAACCCGGGGCTGCAGGCGGGTTTCCTGGTGTACTTTTCTGCTGGGCTCTTTTGCGTCTGAGTCTCTGCCAGGGGCTGGAGCTGGTTTTAACAATGAGCCAAGAGGCTTAGAAATCTGCTCGCCCCTCACGAGTATAGGAGATGAACATGAGCAGAGCCTGGACTTCTCTTGCTCTGAGGTAGGACAGGAAGACTTTCGTGTCTGCTCAGAACAAACAGGTCGGCTGTCCACAGTGGAACCACTCGAAGTGAACCTGCCCAGGTGATGGGGGAGGAGGTGACAGACCCGTCTCGGGCGCTGCCACCTTCAGCCCAACCTCACATAGGCTGTGGGGCTCCCGGAAGCCCATGCTGGGTGGTGAGTGGGGTCATGATGGGTGTTATGCTGTGAGGACCCCGCCTCTGGGTACAGGCCAGAGAGAGGATCACCCACCTTCTCTACGCTGCCCATGAAGCCCCCGCAGGCCGGGAGACCCATTGGTGCAGGGCACCTCTCCTAGAACAGTGGGCACAGGTGTGGGGAGCCTGGGCTACATGTACTTGGGGCCACAGACACCCTGAGCCTGAGAATGGTTTATTCTATGCAATGTCTCGCAAGGATATACACTCATGCCGCTTCTTAAAAACCAGAACCGCAGTCCGGCGCAGGGAAAGTGTGAAGGTACTCACACTGCCGCCTCCTGGCACGTGTTTGATATTATCCTTTGAGCCACACTTGGACTGGACGTTGCTAAGATCCAGCTTCTTATTAATTATCTGCACCTTTGATAGCCAGAAAAAAGGATGAGTGTCACACCACACCTGGATCCATCTGCTCTGCACTAACGCACTCCGCTCACGCTCACGTCGAGGTGGGGGCAGGAGGCCCCAGGCTGAGGGCTGGAGGTCAGTCACACCTCCCCAGAGAGCTCCCCAGGAAGCATTCCAGACCTGTGGGAGATCTGAGGTGGACCCCGTCTCATAACACCGGGTTTATAAGACAGATCCAAGAGGAAGCAATTCAGTTTAGACAAGGATTGTGTCATGGAGGCCCCTGAGGGACCACCTCTGACACCCATAGATCAGAGTTCAGTGTTCACCAGATTGGGATGGAGTGAAATGTGCAAAATTACATTACTAAATGAACAAATAGAAAGTCCCATCTTATGTCCTCGTTCGCACACCTACCAGACACACCGAACATTCACCGAGACCTTTCTGTGGCTGTTCTCCAGCCCGTCAGGCATTGCAATCACCTGTCGGTCTTTTTGAACAATCCCAGACCTAGAATTGGAATCTCGGTCTCTGCTTCTGGAAAGCTCCCCTGGTGCTTTGTTTGGCTGCTCTGCTCGGTTCGAGGATCACAGGCGTTATGGGGAGGACATAGATGGCTTTGTGCCGGAGACACTGCAGTCCCCCTTCTGTGTGAGGGGGGACGTGCTGCCCTTCCAGCCTTCCGCTCACCTTGGCCACAATCCCACCAGGCGCTTACAGGGAACTAGGCAAATAGTCCCCGGTGGTCCCCGCTCAGCTGTCCTGTGCAGTGAGGCCCAGTGACTCCTCTGTGGTTCTGGGAGACTCCCCTTTCTCCAGCACCGGGGAGAAGGTGTGGGGATATCAGCATCTCAGGGGGGGATGATTTAGATCCAGTTTGTCCAAAAACTACGAAATACACAGACAACCATGCACAGAGAAGGAGAGTGGGAAAACTCTTCATTTCGTCTGCTAGAGTGGTGGCGATGTCTTCGCCAGCTGTCTCCCCTCGGGAGGGGGGGCTCCGTGATCGAAAGAAAGCGGTGTGTCTTGGTTTCCATGAATATAAGTCACTGCCAACTCGAGTTCCCAGTTAAGAACCAGCATTGCTCTCTGAAGTTCTGGACATGGCACCAAGACCTCAGTTGCTGCCTTTGTGAATGACGGGTGAGGGCCACTTCCCCAGAGGCCCGGGGTGTGTCAGGACGACTCTGGCTGGGGTCGCAGCCCGGGCCTGGCTCCTGTGGGGAGAAGGCTGCCAAACCCTGACCCAGGTGCCAGAGAGGGCCCTCAGGGCTGCCCAGGTCCTCGGCAAGATCAGGGAACGAGGAAGGGATGGCAAAGTTGGTCTATCCGACTTTTTGGTGTTAAAATGGCCTTTCCTTTATTAAATTATTATTAAGTCACTTTTATAGTAGATAAGAGTTATTATTTTTAGATGGCCTTAACTTTGCAAAACTAAAAAGCCATTTTTTCTTGGGACCCCCATCCTCAGCTTTTTATCTTAATTTTACTGGTCTGAACCTAAAAACCTGGAAAGCACATACCCACCCCACCTCTTTGTTTTCTTGTATGTTCCCCTAAAATAAAAAGCTATTTTTTTCATTAGAAAAGTAACATAACATCATGATTTTGAAAAAGAGGTTAAAAAAAAGCAAAAACAAAACTGTTTTCTTGAACCTGAACACAACCACTATTGCATTCCATTGTATTCTCTTGAAGTCTCATATATATAAATAAAATTACCACCATATGCATAGAAATGATAGTAATTAATGTCCATACAATTTTACATCTTGCTTTATCAAGCAACATCATATCCTAAGCATTCGCCATGTTCCACAGTCATATCAGAAGCATTATTTTATTTATGTATTTATGTATTTATTTATTTATGTATTTTAGGAGATTGATCTTATTATTTGTTTGTTTGTTTTATGGCGACATTGGTTAACGAAATCCGGTAAGTTTCAGTTGTACATTTAATAGTAAGGCATATATATATTTACATTGTGTGTTCACCTCTCATAGTTAGATTTCTTTCTGTCACCACATATTTGACCCCCTTTACCCCATCTACCTCCCTCCTTACCCTCCCCCTTTACCCTCTGGTAACCATTAGACTATTGTCAACGTCCATGAGTCTCTGTTTGTTCTGCTCATTTGTTGCCTTTAGGTTTATATCCCACATATAAGTGACATCATGTGATTTTCAACTTTTTCTGTCTGGCTTATTTCACTTAGCAGATTATGTCAAGGTCCACCCACGTTGTTGCAAATGGCAGTATTTCATCTCTTCTAATGGCTGAGTAATATTCCATTGTATATATGTACCACAGCTTCTTTATCCAGTCATCTATCATAGGACACTTCGGTTGAGAAGCATTATTTTAAATGACTTGTTATTTCATTTTGTGATATCTGTTCTATCAGATATTTATATTGATTCCATTTTAAGTGATATCAACAGCCTCACCACAAACATCTTTCTGCAGGAGTTTTTTTATTTTCCCCTGAATCATAGTTTATTTTCATGGCATGGAGTCCCAGAAGTAGAATGTCTGGGTCAGAAATTATAAATATTATAAAAACACCCAACACAACTCTCTAAACAGCTTTTTAAAAGGGCCGGCTAAATTTACTCTGTGAGCACTGTTCAGAAAGTCAGTTTCACCATATTGCTGCTGATACCGGGAATTTAAAAAATTGTTATGCTAATTTCTTCGACTAAAATAAATAGGACTGCATCATTGGCTTATTCTGTGGTTCTTTGATTACTACTAAAATTTCTCCTTCGCCCTCGTTTTGCTGGTAGGTGTATTTTTTTCGTAACGTGCAAACGTTTGCATTTTTATAAACTCGAAATTTTCTTTGTAATTTATCCTTTGGTTTTTAAATGTAAAAACCACCCCTCCTCTAGAGGCTGGATAAATATCTAATTCCACGTCACCTGCCTCACCCGCCATCCCTTCAGCTTGCTGATGAGCAGTCTACTGGAAGCCCAGAGAGGTTCAGTGACTCAGCGGCAGAACCCACACAGGAATCTAGATATGAGTGTTTCTGTGGCCACAGGCTACGTATGTGACAACGAAGTTTTGCCTGAGTTGTCCTCAAAGCTACTGTCCCATAAACCAAATAAAAACAACACTTGGAGAACACCGAAGTTCTTTCCTGCCAGCAAAGAGATACCACAACAGGGCCTCAGCTTAGGCCTGAGCTGGGAACAGGTAGACGAATGGGCTTTCTCACACTGCTTCCAAAGGAGCTGCTGTCACCTTCCTCATAATGGCTTTGAATCAATTTGTGCCACCCTCAGATTTAAGGAGTCTCACATGAATTCCTTCTTTGGTGATCATTTTTTGTTCATAACTTTCCACTGGATGAGTCCCAGAAGCCAACTCGACTGCTTTCACGAATTAAAATACACACGCGCGCGTGCACACACACACACACACACACACACTAATAAAACAAGGAAATTTAAAGGGTGTTGGTAAAAGAATGGGAGGTCATCAGCACTGACAACTACAAGACTAATCATTACATTTAACCCTGAGCTTCCTGGAAGCCAAGGCAAAAAGGGAAGCACAATGAGTTACATAACTTTCCTTATGTGACAAGGAAAACTTACCAGTTTTTTAAGAAAGATAATCTGTTTTCTGTACCAATCCATACAAGAAATTCATCTAATGGCTCAAGAGACATTATGCAATAACAAGATCTGCAACATACATAAAAATGTTTTTTTCCATGTGGCTTTTTCTTGTTCCAATCCCACAAAAAAGGCAACAAGCTACTGTGGAATTTGGCAGTAGACACAAGGATATTTACAAAGCAGATCTGAATTACTGTTAGTGGTCAAATTAAGCCAACACCCTTCACAGAATATTAGATTTACAGAAAGGAGAAAAAAGCATCACGGTTGGCATTATGAAATCAGAACCCTGAAACTTAATTTCTCATGACTAACATGTATAATATCGAGACTCGGCTCTGGACATGAAAATACCCATCATAGGAGAGAAGAATGTTTTGGAAGCTACAGATTTTGATCTGGGGACTCCTACTCAGGGGAGAAATTCCTGTGGTCAGGGTTTGGCACGGGCAGAGAGGCTGGGGTGGGGTGGGGTGGGGTGGGTCCACTTTGGTTTAATCATTTCTTGGAGGACCCAAAGCAGTCTCAAACTCTCAGTAGGCCTTGATCTGGTTCTGTGTGGGCTCAGACCTCTCCCCAGAGGCTCTGAGGCTGGCCCAGTGTTCGTGGGCCATCCTGGGGGGTCTGTCTCCAGCACCGCCTGGTGTTTGCCGGGCCTGGCTTCACCTAGCCAGGGCCAAGCTGCCCAGTGCTGAGTACTGGGAGCTGGGGTGCTCTGGTGGAAAAGTCCAAGATGGTCAGCCTGAGAACTGACACAGGAAAAATTATCTAGGTCCTGTTAAGTAAACTTGACACAGGAGAGATCAAGTAACAAGGGAGTTGTGGGTACAATTATTTACACGCTTCCTTTAAACAGTGGCTGCACCCAGCTTCTTTACAACGATTTGATTTACACAAGATTTTTCAAAAACAATTATGCTGTGTCTAGGGAGAGATGCCCAGAGGGTCTCAAAGTTACAGGGCTCTCCCAGAGTGGGGGGCCCAGCCCGGCTCTGCCCTCCACTCACCACAGACCCTGACATCTCAGCCCAGGTTCACCTGAGTCCAGGACAAGCAAACTACCCCAGGTACAAATTCACTTTATTTACTCCACATAAATGTTCTTCATGTGTCCTTTTAAAAATGAGAACTGGGACTTTGTCAATAAACAACGAATTTAAAAATACTTCAGTTCTCCTTAATGGAGACAGATGCTAGTGTTCTATCGCCATCTTGTGGCCATTAGCAGTACTGCAGCCCAAGGCTTCCAAAGCCCAACAGTTCTGGTACGTTTCTGTTCTTCCCCGGGGCTCCCAGGTCCTGTCCCGCCTGGGGTCTTTGCATCCCAGTTACTGGCAAGGACATCTCCAAAGAAAGTAACTTTCATCTTCTCCGAGCTGACCTGACCACCTCCACGCTTGGTCCCCTGTGCTCTTTCTGGCGATGACCCTGTGCATCCCTTCTCACCCTTGGCAGCTACAGGGACCCCCAGTTTTTTCTGACCACTCCCAACCTCACCCCCCATGAGCACTAAAAATTGAGCCTGAGGCTCTCCGCCTGCGGTGTCCTCCTCTGCTACCTTCTTTTTACTTCATCCTTGCTAGAGGACAATGTTCTGACCTGTCCGGGCAAACACCCAGCTAGTTCACAGCACATCCAGCTACCAGTTGTTCATTCTCCTTAGCTCTCGTGTAAATGAACAAAGCTCTGGCCTAAACCCACGCCCCACTGGCTACCCCAGTTCCAGCTTTATGTTGCTTTTGCCCTGAAAATCTCCAGGGTACAGTTTCCCACTGTCTTCTTCCAAGCATGTAACCAGCACTCTAGGCAGGGGATCGTCCTTTCAAAGGCCGAAGATGGTCTCAAACAAGGGTGTCTCCTATCTTTGGGGTCAGTGGGTCTCAGCCTGGATTGCACATTGGGAATACTGGCGAGGCCCCCTTGAAGTTCTAATGGGCCTAGTGGAGGCTCTGGCACTAGGATTTTTTAAAGAATCCCACTGCACCCCCAGGTGACTCCTTTGCAGCCAGGAATGAGAAGCTCATCTCCGGGGCTCTCGGGAGCCGGTCCACTGATCAGTGGCCACTGGTCGCCTTCCTCCCCTTCGCTCCCCACCTCTGATGGGCTCTACTAGTTAGTTCTCTGGATCACCGAGTACATCCCTGCACTTTCCTTTAAAAACAATCTCTGTCCACGGCTATGCCACCCTGAACAAGCCCGATCCCGGCTGATCTCAAAAACTAAGCAGGGTCGGGCCAGGTTAGTACTTGGATGGGAGACCACCAGGTGCTGTAGGCGTAAAAAAGAAGTTTTTTTAAATAAGGGATTGTAAACTGACAAGGTCCTTGCAATCTGTGAGGTCAACTAAGGGTTGCCTCACCTAAAAAATTAAAAATAAAATAAAAACAATTTCGTTTCAGACCCTTCGAGCCATACACGCTCACTGTGGCTAATCATGAAATCAGAGAAAAAGTATAAAGCAGAAAATAGATGTTTCACATTTTCTTTTTCCCAACCAGTGATTTATACTGGCCTGCTGTGGTGTTTGGTCTGCAGGTTAACAAGCAGGACCCCCTCCTGCTCTTTCTTCAATGTGGTCATCTATTCAGGGCGTCGAGTCATTCTTCATGCTGTCTACATTCTTCATTCTTCACCGCTGTCCCGGTGGCCGAGGACACACCGACTGAGCACTTGCAGTACGTGGGCACTGCCTGAGGCCACAGGGACCCAGAGATCACCATGTCACCTTGCAGAACTGTCATCAGTCCAGTCTGAGTGGAGGGGGCACAAGACACTTTGACAGATCATTTTCAAGACCTTCTCCGTGGGTCCCAAGTACCTTCTTTTTTCCTTTTATTTTCAGTTTTCCTGGTGATCGACGTGTTGATCTTTGCCGTTATGGCTGAGGTTTCCTCTGGTGCAGACAACTTTCTAGGTTTTCCACGGAACTTAAGGAGAGACTAATCACCCTCCCTCGGCACGTCCTCCGGCAGTAAGTCTCAAGAAAAGCCACCCTTTCTCCCTGAACCCTTCAGTAAGTGAGGACATGTGTCTGGACCCAGCACCATTAGGTGGTAACTGGGGGGAAGGGGCACCTGCCCCTCTTTCTTTTCTTAGCATCAAGTCACTGGCCCTCGGCCCCCAGACTCTTCTCCCGGCACAGCTCGGGGTGGGGCGGCCCTGGGTGCGAGGGGTGAGTTCCGGCCCTGAAAGGGGCCTTCGGTGGAAAGTACCCCCGCTACCCGGCCCCCAGCCCTGTCATCACCGCTCTCAGCAGATCGAGGGCTGGGCCAGACGTTGCCCAGACCTTCCAGGCCAGCCTCAGATGAACTCCAAGCTGGCGGGAGGACACTCACTGGGTGTTTGCCGGTGTGTGACAGGGCCCCACAGGCTGGGAGACGCTGATGGCTACAGTTTCCCTTTAATGAATCATGGTGGCTATGCTGGTCACAGCTGCACGATCTTCTCAATGGTGCAGAACCGGCCTTGTGGGGTTTTGTTTTTCATTTTTCAAACATGGGGCAAACGGTCACGCTGTGCTATGGAAACAGGGCACACGAGGGACACGCACAGCACCGAAGGAGGGGTGCCAACACCCGTGGGAAACATCCCATCAACTTGGAAACTGGCTCCCTGGGGGTCCCTCTGCCCTCAAAGCTTCGCAGAAGAGTGAACCTCAAACCAACGCCGCACACAGCTGCCTCAGAGCCCCTCTGGCAGGAGACAGGCATCTTTACCGAGAGGAGAGCAGGCCGGCACTGCAGGAGAGTACCCACCCCAGGTCTCCCCGTGGTGCAAAGACCGGCGGCGCTAGGACCGCGCACTCCGCCCCTAGAGGCGCGAGGCCCGGCCCACTGGGCGGGACCAAGGATGGGAAAGGCCCGCAGGCAGCTCTGTCGAGCAGAGCGCAGGGTTTCTGGATGCAAGGCACCCACGCGCACCCAGGGCCCTCTGGACGCCCTCCCTCCAAAGAGACCCAGGCCTCGGCCAAGAGCGATAAACAAAATCAACAATGTGGAGGGTGCCTGCGGGGTTTGGGGGGGCAGTCGAGTTGTCCCCACTGGAAGGGGAACATTGGCTCAGGGTTCTGTAAGCTCCCCCAGCCCACCAGGAGGCTCATTGCCCGCCCCAAACGGCTCAGCCCGGAAGGCCCATCACACGTGTGTCCCCGGGCGGAGTTTTGGCCCTCGGCGCTTCACCTGCCTCCTCCTCTCCCTCCCTCGTTCCCCTCTCTGGAGCTGTGATGGGCTCAGCCGTGTCCCCCAGGATTTTTATGCTGAAGTCCTAACTCCCAGGCCCTGGGGATGGGACTGTGACCACGGTCTTTAAGAGGTCATTCCCTTAACGCGAGCTCATTCGGGTGGCCCCAACCCAATCTGACTGGTGTCCTTATAAGAAGGGGTGATTGGGACATAGAGACACCCGGAGAAAGAAACGTGTGAGGACACGAGGAAAAGGCGGCCACATACGAGCCAAGGAAAGAGGCCTCAGGAGAAACCAACCCTTGGACACCTTGATCTTAGACTTCTGGCCTCCAGAACTGTGAGGAAATAGATTCCTGTTGTACAAGCCGCCCAGTCTGTGATGTCTTGTACATATGACGGGGGGACAGGGACAAGAGGAGGGGGAAGGGGTCCAGGCCAGTCCCCAGGTCAGGCCCTCGGAAGCCTATGTTCCCTGACCTTTAGGAGACCTGAACATTTCATGAGCGCTCGCCTGCCGCTGCTCAAAATGGAACCCCCAACTTCCCCAGAACTGGAGGTTAGAGAGAAACCCAACCTCAACGAATGTCCGAAGAACACCAGAGACACCTGCCTATAGGTGGTGTGTCATGTCCTAAACACGAAGCAGGCCGGGGACCCCCGTGGGCGCCCCCAGGTCACAGAGGTACAACCTCGTAACCTCTGACACTGATCGTCGGTGGCTGAAAGAGGGACGGAAAGAACAGGTACTTTCTCTCCCCTGAGCGGGGCATTCACCGCTCCTTGGTGACGCCAATAAAGAACCATAACACAGTTGTCTTTCCTTGAAGAGGTCTGGGCGGGACTGGGGTGCTATGTGAGGGGTGGGACCCGAGTCACGCACCAGCCTCTGCCCTGGCTGTGGGGGGCCCACACACCTCCTCCTGGCTTGCTAGGGCGGCGCACGCACAGACAGCTCCGTATGCCATACCTTCCCGCCTCCTGGCTGGTGCTTCAGATTTTCAGTGGAGCCAACTTTGGACCTGATGTTCTTCAGGTCTGGCATGGGCACTGGGGCGGTCTGCAGGCGGCTCTTGGCTGAAGATGGTGACTTGGGTGGGGTGCGGACCACTGCCACCTTCTTGGGCTCCCGGGTGGGCGGGGTTGGCAGGGATGGGGTACGGGAGCGGCTGCCCGGGGTGCCCGGGGAGCCGGGGCTGCTGTAGCCACTGCGATCTCCAGATTTTCCAGATTCACCTGGAAAGGAAGGAGGGAGTCAGGCCAGGACTGCGTGTCGGTGGGAGTTAGCCAAGGCCCTGGAGCTGTCTGTCCTGAGGGTCCATTCTCAGACCCATGCCTGGATTAGACAGGTGGGAACAGACTGGAAGCTCAGCCAGAGCAGCGGGAAGCTGCCCTTGAGCCCATACTAGAGAAATGTCTCCTCCTAACATCTTGTCGCTTGGGGATAGAGACACCCCATTTCCCAGGAAAGCAGCTGTGTGGTCACCAAGGACCACCCAGTGTCCCTTCCCAGAGAGGGGACCACCTCTGCCCATGGCCCTTGGGTCCAGAGATGGGCTCCAACCAGCTGTGTGGACTCAGACAAGTCACTTCCTCTCTCTGAGCTCAGGGTCCTTAAGTCGAAAAAGGAAACAGTTCTAACGCTGGCAGTTAGAAGGCCAGGTGGGGAAGTGTGTGCCCTCTGTAAGGTTCTAGTGCTGTTCCAGGTGGACTTTTCCCTGAATAAGGGCGATGCGAGGACAGGACCCAGGAAGATCCATGAGGCAGACACACCCGCACAGACCACACACAAGCAGAGGAGCAGGAATTCTGCCTGTTGGATTCAGGCTCAGCGTCTCAGAAGCAGTCCTCCAGCTCTAAAAACTATGCCAACGAGCAGCCACACACATGACGGGGGTGCCCCCCTGAGAATTACCTCTCTTAGATTTTGCCCCTGCAGGGGGTGTTTTTCTCTGCTCTTGCTTGGTAGCTTGAAAAGAAAAATCCACAGAAAGCCTCATTATAATCAAGCTTAAATGGGGCCCTAATGAGTTTTTCTCCATGCCGTGGGCACTCAGCCATGCCCAGCTGGGCCATGTGGCAGAGGCCGGCGAGGCAGGGAGGGGGTTCAGGGAACAGGGCCCTTGTCTTTCAGGAAACAAGGTCAAGGGGGCCCATAGGGGCATCTGTCCACCTGCAGGTTGCCACTGAGGTGAGCAGGTGAGAGGCAAAGCAGGAAT